GTGCCCAAGATCCCGAGAGGAGAATGAAGGAGAAGGGATTGTGGCGTGGCCATCCCCTCTGGGGGGTGATTTCTTGCTTTCTGTCTCTCTGTCTGTCTGTCTCTCTCTCTGGCGAGCACACGCGCCCTATAGCAAAAACCTCTCCAAAAAAAGAAGAAAAAAAGTGATGAGAAACAGATGGAAATGAGGGATGAGTATTCCCATTGCTTGTTGAAGCCTCTGCTATTCTCACAAGTCAGGGTTCCTTGGTGTGTTAAAGGAAGACGTCTTTACATTCCTCTTCCTCCTCTTTCTGTTCTTCCACTTCCTCTTCCAGAGGGTTGTGTGTCCCAAAGAGAAACTGAGAATCAGAGAGACTGTAAGACAGCACCACCCTGCCATGGGACATAGTCAGACAACAATCCTTTTCCCCATTTCTCCATCCTGTCGGGTTCGTAGGCATGCACACATGCCCAGTGTGTTTTTCAAGAACTGGAGCCAGGATTCGAACCTCTATTGGCCATGTGAAATCCAACTTCCTTAACCACTAGGCTATGGGGCTGGCCCCCATAGTTATTCTTGTATTCTTTTTATTTTTGGAGAGATTTTTGCTATAGGGTGCATGTGCTCACCAGAGAGACAGAGAGACACAAAGTGAGAAATCATCCCCCAGAGGAGATGGACCACACCACAATCCCCTCTCCATTCTCCTCTCAAGATTTCGGAAATGCACACATACACTCCTGGCATGAGTGTTAAGCTGCCAGGTCTAGGACTTGAACACCATCGACTATGTGGGAGTCCAGCAACTCAACCATTAGGCCATCTGCTGATAACCATCATGCAATTCTTGACACTTCTGTTCTAAATTCAGTTTGGTTTTACATTTACGAGGCTCAATGTGGTTGTTAGACTTCGTTCTCTGAATGGTGAAGAATTCGTCATAGTTATTTGGGAGTAAGGCAGAAGGGAGTTTTGGGTTTGTACTGATGAAAAATATCCATGTTTTTGTTGGTCACTTTGGGCTTCCTGAGTGGGAGATCCCCAGTAATGGCAACCAAGAAGTTAGGTCTTTAGAGCAGAAAGAGAGATGGGGAGAAAGCAGGGAGAGCTTCAAGGAGGTGGCACTGTGCATGGGAAGGAAAGTGCTCTGGAGGAAAAGGAAGGGATGAGAGAACGCACGTGTTAACTTCCTGTCACATGGAGGGCCCTGACCCAGAGCCTGGCTCGGTGCTTACTGGGTTGCACGGAGTCCTGTGCAGCTCCAGTCTGATTTAGGCTGGAGGGACTGGAATGCGTAGTGAAATTCTCCTGGTCCCTTAGGAGGAATTGTGTCTGAAAGGCACAAACACTTTGTCCCTCATCTGCCTGCTTTTTCTAAAATGCAGGAAGATTGTAGGAAGTAGAGGAATTACCATGCAGATTCTGCTCCCGTTTGTCCATTTTTACCACCTTAACTCCCACTTCCACCATCCCCACCATCACTGACATCGCTACCCGCTACCACCACTGCTATGTACAACTGCTTTCTTTCTTTCTTTCTTTTGGAGGGAGAGGTTTTTGCTATAGGGTGCGTGCGCTCACCAGAAAGACAGAGAGAGACAGAGAGACAGAAAGTGAGAAATCAACCCCCAGGGGGGATGGCCACGCCGCAATCCCTTCTCCTCCATTCTCCTCTCGGGATCTTGGGCATGCACGCACACATGCCCGGCGTGAGTTTAAGCCACCAGGTCTGGGACTCGAACCACGGTTGACTACATGGGAGTCCAGCGACACAGCCATTATGCCAACTGCTTGGTCCCAATGGTATAACCCAGAGGCTTAAAAATCATGTCAGGCCTGTGCATGTGTGCCCAAAATCTCAAGAGGAGAATGGAGGAGAGAGGATTGTGGTGTGGCCATCCCCTTTAGAGGGAGCTTTCTCTCCCACCCCACTGCCCGTCTCTCCCTGGAGAATACGTGCACTCTATAACAAAACAAAAATAGAAACAAAACCAAACAGACATGAGTCTGGAGCTGGCCTGCACTAGTACTTCGCTGGTCCCTGCTACAGGGGAATAGTTGCTCGTGTGGAAG